TCTCAGTGTCTTTCTCCTATGTCATTCTCTCTTTATCTCTGTTTTGAGTCAGATGTGGTTTGTGTTGGTCTTCTGGTGTTCAGTGTAGTCTGTTGTCAGGCACTAAAGACATGGTGACAGGCCTCTGAGGTGCAGAGGGCTACAGTGGAGGAACTGATGCAGGGATGAACGGGCTTGTGAGTTAAACTATAGGGTAAATGACACGTCTGAGCAACAAACTCACCACAGGTGAGAAAACCATATAATCGTTTTTATACTTCAACTAAAAAGATTTGATATATTATATGCCAAGGTCTGTCATGAAACTCTAGATGGTGCAGGTTGATGGGTCCTTAACACAAACTGATTATATTCACAGCGTTAAACTACTTGGCACAAGCTGATTGGTTCAAATGCAAATGCAGCCAATGAGCTTGCTGCTTTACATTTAAATGGCTGGTTTCAGAGTTCCTCTGAAACCCTCCATCTTCCCCAGCTCCATCTGTATAGATCTGCTACGGGTTATTATATATGCTATTTATGCAGCAGCAGTATGTCTTAAATACTCACAGCACCATATCGGCGTATGTATTGGCAGTAGCAAGTTCCTGTACTTGCTTTGCAGCAGCAGCAATAATATACAACAAAAGCTATAACCAACAACAGCAGCAGCAGCGTAGCAGTTCTATTTTTGTGAAATTAAGCAGTGCAATTAACCATTTATTTATTGTTGGTTTGCTAGTAGAAACTGTGGAGTGTTTTGGGCTTAAGTGGTACTGCAAACTCAATGAGCTTCGATGGTAGTCCAGTTCTTTGTTGCAGTGTATGCACTTATATTTACCCAAGAGTTACATTTACTCAAATTTCGACCTACCAGGGTTACAGGTGCTTGCGCTATTGCACTGTAGATGCTCAGTGTAAAATCCAGACTCCCAAGGTCATCCAACTGCATGACATAAATAATGCTAACATTGTGTGCTTTAGTAATTTGCTTTCAATTATTTTAACACATTAAGGATTTTGAATTAATCGCATACAATAAATGCATTAATGTTAACAAGCCACTCTTTAGAACTGTAAGTACGTCATTACATACAATATCAAAACCAAGTGGCACAAAAAAATCTGTTAAACTGTTCTCTTGACGATTCACTGTGGTAGGCCCACAATTCTACTGTAATTATCTATATCATGAGCGGTTAAGTTGGATTGGCAGGAAATTTCCAACACAGTCTCATGGCAGTTCATAACGATTTACAATTGGCGAATTGGTGCTGGTGGCTTCATCCTTGTGTGTGTCCCACATTGGTGCAGTGTCCGCTTGTTTGCACTTGGCTCAGTCCAGGGCATCGTCAGGGCCAGGGGCGATATTGACTGCGCTCATGTTCTCCACCAGACGAGCGCGGATTGTCGTCCAGATGGTGATAAATAGTAGGCCATTTTCGCCACTGTATCATCGCCGCCTCTGATAACGTGGCCAAACCAGCAGAGTCGAGCTTCCCATGCACCTTTGGACATCTTCATTCATGACGCGTTCGAGTCGCGTGATGCCAAGGGACTAGCGGAGGCTCTTCATCTCCATACCATGGAGGGTGTGCTCGTGCTTGGTGGTGGCTGGCCAGTACTCGGAACCGTACAGAGCGACTGGGCATAAGACGGTTTTGTAGATCTTGTCCTTGAGTGGTATGGGCATTTGGCAGTCACAGAGATATTTGAATTTGAGCCTTGTTCAGTGGCTGCCCTGTAACTCTGAACATCCTTTGACGCTCTGGACTCCATGTACTCAGTCTTCTTGATGTTGAGGCACAATCTGTGCATGTCCAGCCGCTCGTTCCAATCTCGCACTTGACATTCGAGCCCAGAACGGGTTTCGTCAGCTTGGAAGATATCGTCAGCGAACAGAAGTGACCATGGCTGAGGCGCCTGAATATCCACCATGGGCGTGTCCATGCAAAGGATGAACAGGAGTGGGAAGAGGGCGGATCCCTGGTGCACGCCAACGGTGATTGGGAACTATTCAGACAGGCTGGCAGGACATCGGATGACGCTGGTGGTGTTGACGTAGAGGAGCTGGATCCACCGTATGTACTCTTCGGGGGCGCCGCGAGAGCAGAGGGAATGCCAGATGAGGTCCCGGGGCACGCGATTGAATGCCTTCTCGAGGTCGAGGAAGGCCATGTGTACTGGCTGGTTCTTCCCCGCCATCAGTAGTCCCACTTCCGCAGACAAATCCACACTGATTGGGACTGATAGAGACGATCTTCCAGCGGCGGGTATCGATTTCGCTAATCAGTATTGGCTAATTCGTATAAATTCCTATGATCTCATTAGTTTGATTTTGTACTATCTGCTTATGCCCCAGTGACAGTTATATTTAGGGGTGGGGTTGGAGATGGACCTTCATGTTTTCTCTCTACATTTTCGTATTCATACGAAATCACTACCTCGTAAAATAGATACGTGTTCGTGTGAGATCTGTAGGAAATTTTAGCTATATATCAAGTCCATAAACAGAGAAAAGAATGTCCTGCTACTGTGGCAGCAGAGTACCTACTTGCTCAATCAACATGTTTTTCAGATATATGCCTTGCTTTCTTCTTAATGTCAGTGGGCCTTAATGCCTCAATCTATCATATTCTTCTGTGCAGATGAGCAGTGCCAAATAAAAAACTTAGCAGGTTTCATGTAATTAAAATTTTCAACCACAGATGGCAATAGAGAGGTCAAAGTTCCATGGTTCACCTTTAAGAAAAATAACATGCAAATATCAGAGAACGGAAACGCAAGGGCATTATAATTTCTCTGCATTCCAAAGTTCAAGTTTGGTGAACTTTGACCTGCAAATTCGTATCACTTAAAGACTTGTAAACAACAGAAGAGCAATACATCATGGCATGAAGAAGAACACAAACTGGTTTGAAGCTTTACAGGAAAGTGGAGTAGATTGTACATTTTCAAACCAGCAGCTTAAAAATTTGTGTTCTTCTTCATGCCAAGATGTATGGCTCTTCTGTTGGTCACACAATCAGATGCTCTCTAGAATGAGAACATCCCTACACCTTTTAACAGTTACTTGCTGGCAAAAGTTAATGTGAGTCTGTTTAAACTCTCAATAACGTGACTCAAGATGATTGTGTGTTTGGGTGAATTAGAAGGCTTGGCGCTCTCACATTCATGGAATGCCGAGCATCTCTGCAGTTAGTCAGGCAGCTGGTGTGATGGGTAAGGAGGGAGTTATGGAGAAAGGAGGGGTGTCACACAAAATAAGCACAATTACACTTACACGGGATGGAAACCAGATGACCACGGGCACTGACAACATGCAGGGGTTACATAGGCCAAGGCTCAGATACACACTAAAACACAAAGGCCCCTTACAACATCCTGGAGCCCTGCAGTAGACGTATGGGGCTCTGTAAACATGCCGCGTTTCCCACTTCACTTTCGTGATCTAAGTGTCAGCCACGACCCCCTCATTCCTCAGTTTTCCAAAACACCTCCATCAAGACCTTTTGACATTTCTTTCACTGTGAATTGTATTGATCCTAGTCTAGTCAGGTTATTCATGGTAAACTTGTAATGCTTGACACAAAGACTTTGCAGTAAGTTTGCTATGTAAGCCAAACTTTTTATGTTCTCCTGCCTTCCTTTTTTTGCCTGTTCTGTGTGAGTGGAGGGGGTGATTTTACATGACTGGGAAATGAGCTAATCGCTCGGTCTTTATGACCTAATTTCAGAGCTCTCAGCTTGCTGAGACAAAGACAGAACCTACATTCCAAATGCTGCTCGGTGTGTGAGACTTTCTCTTAACAGATTATAAATGGGGTTCACTGTGCCTGTACCCCATACAGCAACAACGCTGATGTTTTTGCTGTTTAGTAATTTAAACACATTCTTAGTTAAAGATGGATTTTTAAAACACATTTTGTTTTACTAGATACTAAGGGGTATCTTCTTTGCTCATGTCTGACTCTTTATTCACAGTTTTCATTCAGAGTAAAAGATTTGAGAATATGAGAATATAAAATGATTTATATTCTCAATACTGGAGAATATAAAATGCACTTTCATGATTGGAGTGTGGTACATGTGATATTAATTAAAACATGACCAAAATAATACAGAACTGACTTTGCATCTCTTTGTATTCCTAAAAACTTGTGCCAACATCAAATCCACCATCGCCCCCTAGTGGCCATTCAAATTATATTAATATTAAAATTAATTTGAATGACCCCTAGGGGGCAGGTTTTTTTCTTTTTTGTTTACAAATGTTTCTGTACCTAAAATACGTACCTAATCAGAAATTGCCTTTAAAAAGTAGGTTTATTGAAAGTCAATTTCTGATTAGGAAGATATTTTAAAAGTCTTAAATTTAATTAACACAGTTATTGCCCATAAAAAGTCTTTAGTAAGGAATATTGTCATAAGGACAACATGCTGATTTACACTGATACCTGTTCATTCCTTACACATTAAATTCCATTAATAGTAATGTAAGATTTTCAACAATAAATACCTGCCCCTGACATTCATGAAAAAATCCCTCTGTCATGACCTTCCAGGTATAATCTACCTTCATTATATACAGGTGCATCTCAATAAATTAGAATGACGAGTTTCACAATTTGAGTTGAATTACTGAAATAAATGAACTTTTCCACGACATTCTAATTTATTGAGATGCACCTGTAGTTAACTCTTGCTCTAATGGTTTAATTGTGTTCACTTATTTACCCAAGAGCTATAATGGAGTTTTAGCTTGGAGGGTGAAACCCAAAATGATCCTAATTTCTGACAAAAATGGTGTTTGAAATCAACAGGCAAAATTGGATTTAAATAAATAAACTGACAACTTCCTTGTGTAACTAGGACCGGTCTGTCCTATTGCTTCTTGATGCGCTAACATATCAACAAATCAGTACTTGGAAAAAGAACCCAAACTGAATAAATTGCCTTTATTATTGAAGATTTTAAAATAACAATGCTTTTTAAAAAAGTATAGGCTGGCATGAATTAAAAAGTCATCTGTCACATACAGGCCATTCATTAGTGGGCAAATTAGTCAACAAAAGTCTGCAGTTGCTACTACAGGATATATATTGTTTATATATATATATATATATAACATTTTCTATTATGGTATCATTGTATTTTCTCATGTATGCATTTTTATTTTCTCATATCTACTGAATTTTTATATATGCTTCCAATCAAAGAACAAGGCTATGGACTGTAGCAAAGGTTTAATGACTTACATAGGATCATTCTCAATAAAAATGTGCCATGTGTGTTATAAACACATAAAAATTCATTTCAACTCATCAATCTCCTCAATCAATTATTCTTATGTATAAATGCATACATACATATACATTTACGTGAAGTAAGAAAAAACTTATGGGAAACCACTTCATTATTCATTACATGCTTTGTCACTATAGTTGTGGCAATAAATACATCCCTGAAAGCTGATTTACTTCTACTATGTAGGATTCTAACCATAAAAAGTGACAGATGTCAAAGAAGGTAACAGAAGTATTTCAACCAACTTACCAATTTTTAGTGCAACATATCCCACAGTTAAAAATAGTGTTGAATATCTCTTTTAAACAATGAAACAAACTGTATTCTTAATTAATTTCACATGTCATATGTGTGACTAATGTACGCGTTTGCAAAACGTGCATAATGTATAATGTTCTACGTATGCTCATTTGGAACCTCTACCAAAATGTATACAGTCAAATTGGAAGTTTCATGTAATTTAGTAGTTTTAATTCAGCTGAATGTTGGGAGTGCCATGAGATGGATGTTCATACCAGACACTGAAAGGCCTCTGGCTTTAGCTTGATTCTACTTTGGGCAGCTGCTTCTCATAGGACACCTGCTCCTCTGCAGGCAGTAACTCCTCCTTATCATCCAGTATGAAGGACCTCCAGTGGGCGTTTCTGCGCATTGCGATCAGGATCAAACCTACCAGAAGTAGGGCAGACATGATGGCCAGGGTGGCCACTAGGAAGAAGGCTGGGAATAAGATACGCAAGACATGTTACATTTTGTAATCAAAACAAACTCAATAAATATTTCTTATTATTATCAATGTTGAAAACAGTTGTGCTGCTTAATATTTTTGTTGAAAACATGACGCATTTATTTTCAGGATTCTTTGATGCATAAAAAGTAAAAAGCACTTATTTGAAATAGAAATCATTTGTAAATAAATGCCGTTACTGTCACTTTTGGTCAATTTAACGTGTTCTTGCTAAATAAAAGTAAATTCATTTCTTTTTTGTGTCGACACACTAACCACGAGGCTATTGGCACTGACGTAAAGTAATTTCTTTAACAAAATATTACTGACCCCAAACTTTTGGAAAAAAGTGTGGGTATATAAATTATAATTACTTGATATCTATAATTTTTTTTATAACTGGTTGGATGTTTGTTTGGTGTTTTAAAACCATGCCAGCTCCCTTGAGTATTTCCATGCCGAAATCAAGTTGAAAAAGTATAAAAGAACAGTTTATAACATATATCAGGTATTTAAAGTTTGCTTCAGATAAAAACTCTAAAATTAATTTAGAATTAATTAATATAATTACTATAATTATGCTCATTCTAATTAATTAAATAAATTTTAATACATATCAAGTATTTAACAATGCCTTACCTGGAGTCCAGCGGTTACGTTTGTAACCTGTAGAAAAAGAAATACAACAATATAAGCTACCAGCAAAACAAAGTCACAAATGTACTACCAGAAGGAGAATTGCTGTTGTCCTCTTACCATCTTTCCCGGAGCAAGCTGCCATGCACTCTTCCTCACTGCTGTAGCGGTTTAGGTTTCCCTGGCAGCCTCCATAGATGAAGGGCTTACAAGACTGAGTGTTGGGCTCAAAGTAAAACACTGGGAAGGCTGCACGGCACGGGCCAGAGTCGGATGGCATGGCACATGTTTCTGTATTAAATCACAGGATAAAGAAAGTTTGGTTCATATTGTATAAACATTCACTATTGCATTATCGGCAATACGTTTGAAATACAGAAATTCGAGACAGCTGATGTAGAATCTGACAGAGATTCCTGACGTGACTTTTTTTGGCATTTTACCTTCAAAGCTGCGGATGCTGTAAGGAGAAGTGGGAACGACAGGTTCCTTCTTGTTGCTGGGAATGACCCTCACTGGGATGCATACACACAGAGTTATAATTTCATAGTGATTTATAGCGATGATGGATGATCAGGAAATGAACAGTCACACACAAGTGTACCTGTGCAGGATGTCATGCATGATTCCTCAGTCTTATAATTGTTCTGGTTGCCACCACAACCTCCATAGATGAATAGCTGACAGGTGCCATTGTTGTAGTAATAGCGTCTAATGGAGGCTTTGCAGAGTCCGGTCTGTGCGGGAGCCAGACACTTCTCTGATACGGCAAGACAGATGGGAAGAAGAAATTAGAACCAATAGTGTACAGCTGTACTCTGCTTAAAGATGTGGACAATGTAAAAACACTAAAACTTATTTAATTTAAATAGTAAAAAAAATAAAGATAAAATACCTTGGAATTCATCTAATGTCATTTCAGGAAGAGGTTCAACGTCTGAGGAAAGAGATACAGAATATGTATTGTTTTATCTGTTACAAGTACCTGGTAAAATGGATACTACTAAAGACAAAATAGTGTCTATCATCCATTTTGAAGTTCATACAATCTCAGTTTTAATTGAACTGTGAAAGATTAGTATTCAAGACTACTATGCAAACGTGTCCTGGACCCCCCCAGACAAACTATTAATTCTTTACAAAAGTTTTTAGTGGCCATTATTCAGTTTTCAGTTTTCACGTGGTTCAGAAATCATTCTAATATGCTGATTTGCTGCTCAAGAAACATTTTTTATTTTTATCAATTCTCAGAATTGAGCAGTCCCTGGGTCCTGGACCCCCATACCCTCTTTTAATTAATTACAAAAGGATCAATTAATGTGTTTTATTATATATTATTAGTTGAGCATGATTGTTGAGAGCTCTGACACAAATTGAGCTAACTATTTATAAAATGTTCAGTCAGTTAAGCATCACTCTTCAGCTGTGTCATAATCACTCATGTCTGAGAACCAGTCTCACTGTTATATCTTGATAACAGACAGATTTGATTACCAATGTTGTTTTCAGGTACGGACATTCTGCTGCGTTGAGTGATGGAATGAGAGTCCGCGAGCACAGCACCTGAAGAGAGCAGAGAGACACTTTAAATTACTATACTGTGTGTGTATATAACTACATATTTCTGAACAAGACACATACAATACCATTTAAAAGTTGGTACTCAGTGAGATTTTTAAATCTTTTAAAAGAAGTCTATTATGCTCACCAAGCCTATATTTGATCAAAAATACATTTATCTGAAATAGAAATCCTTTGTGACGTTATAAATGTCTTTATTGTCACTTTTGATCAATTTAATGCATCCTTACTGAATAAAAGAATTAATGTCATTTTTTTTTCTTACAGAAGCCAAACTTTTAAATGGTAGTGTAATTCAGTAACTAAATACCAAACTAATCTTTTCCATGTTTTCTAAGGAAAATGAAGGGTAAGGAATGTTCTATATAAAAAAATGTAGTGCAAGTCCCATGGACACAGTTTGCACAATTTGTAGCACACCCTCACATAAACACACTGGCCCACACACACACCCACACACACAATAACATTGCATAACACAGAACGGCTCAGAGTGTTGCAAGTAAAATTCTTAATATGATTTCCTGATGACAATAATAGGATTTTGCTTTAGTGTCTCTATTGGAAGCAGATGACATCTTTTTCCATTTAAACGTCATCTCATCTCATAAAACTGGTAATTCCATGGATCACAAAGGGTCATTCGGATACAGCAGGCATGAAGCACAATGACCCCATAAAGAGAACTAAAAATTCCCTTCCTCTTTCCAACCCTCAGTCTAAATTGATCACTCATTTAAAAGTAATACTTAAAAGTGGAAAGTGGAAGTAATAAAAAGTGGAAAGAGGTAAAAGAAAAAACAGTGTCAGCTAATGTGTTTGTCATGCCTTTGTCGAGGACAGGTAATCCATCTGCATAAAGGTCACCAAACCGGTTATTCAACAACCAAGGGTAAGATGAAACCAATTTAAGACATTCTGCATAAACCCACTGAAACTCACTGAAGTTGTCCAAACTGTAGAAAAAATGACCTAATTGACTTTAACTTAAGTAGTTTCGATTTCAGCCCATAAAATTAAAACAACTAGTCTATATGTTTAGCTTTGAGAATTTGCTGAGAGTAATGTAACAATACAGACCGCATGTTACCTGGCTGAACTCTACTACAAACTCCAAGTGGAAATCCACTCGACACCATTCAAATATAGCAGGACACGAACCAGCAGACTGACTAAACTGAGCACACAGCCTGAGCCAACCACCAACTACAATGTGGGCACTGGATTTGTGCCCACTCTCATTGGAGAAAGGCTGTAATAAAAGTTGTATAGTTTTCCAAAGCTCATATTTTGGTCCCCTTCTCTAAACCTCTGTTTTCATCACCGCAGACATGTCAGATCGTAGACTGATAATATGCTCTAAAAACTTTTCCAAGTGACTTGACTGTAATGGCAAACTGGGCCTCACATAACAGTATGTATGTGATTTGAGATTTAAACCCAAAATCCTCAATAAAACACGTTTCAGTACAATACATTTATCTGCATTTTCTCTGGATGCCCAAAGTAAGCCAATGCTAACATTACCTAGATGCAAATGGCAGCTGGCCTCAAATCTAGGATGTTTATTGATTTGCATTTATTTATCCACATTTCTTGCATACTACATCCTAACTAGGCTGCTGACACACTGTGGAGTATAGATATTGGTGATCCAAAATGCTCCAGTCCACTCCAGTGATGAAAGCTGTGTGTGTGCTACAACAAATCTAATATAATTACTCAACTTAAAACCACACCTTACAGAAGATTCCTTTTGTCTGTCATCAAATGCTCTGTTTTTGTCACTGCACTTCAATAGACTACCTTGTACTCATGTACAGACGTCTCAGCTGTGAAGCCCAAACAATGAACAGGGCTTGACGCAAAAGTTTAGCTCTACAGTAGGAAGTCCAAATCAGTAAATAGCAGGTAAATGAATTAATGTTTTTTACATTGCCATTCAAAAGGTTGGGGTCAGTATATTTTTTATACTTTAATACATTTATTCAGAAAGGACACATTAAATTGATCAAAAGTAAAAGCATTTATAATGTTACAAAACAGCTCAACTGTTTCCAAAGTTGATAATAATAAGAAATGTTTCTTGAGCACCAAATCAGCATATTAGAATGATTTCTGAAGGATCCTGTGACACTGAAGACTGGAGTAATGATGCTGAAAATTCAGATTTGCCATCACAGGGATAAATTACATTTTAACATATATTCAAATGGAAAACAGCTATTTTACATTGTAATAATATTTCACAGTAATACTATTTTTACTGTATTTTTAATCAAATAGATGCAGCCTTGGTGAGTGTAAGAAATGTCACAATCATTAAATAAACCTCACCAACCCCAAGCTTTTGAACGGTAGTGTGTGCATAGCCGCGGGAACGTATTTTGTCCGGGGGGGCTGAGAAATAAAACTTGTGGGGGAAGGGGGGTCACGTGACAAGAGTGATGCGAGAAGACACACTGTGATGGCGGATCAGGACACCGGCCCTCCAGGACCGAGTTTGGGCACCCCTGGGCTAAATGCTTGGAAATGATATTTAAAGTTTTCAAGTCTATTATTTGTAACAGGCAAGCCACCCAATAATCGAAGCTTTGTGCTTTGTTACTACAAAGTCTCAGCCTTCTGTCAATTTTATGATAAAATACAAAAAATAAATGTGTTTTTACGCTCTTTAATTTATTACTTTTAATAAAACTTTCATTTCTTCGTTTAATAGCCTATAAGTGAGTGTCTTTATTGTTGCTGGGTTTCCTTTAAAAAAATAATAAATAAATAAATAAAATAACAATGAACCACAAACTAATCATTCGTTTTAAATAAGGGAAAATACCTTATTTATTTGGGTTACAACGCAAGGCTATATCTTATTCATTTTGTTAATAAAAGTTAGATGTTTAATATATGCGAATTTGCCATTGTACTATTTTATGGCTGATGTGTTTTAATTAAGATAATAAATCACAAACTATGATCGTTTAAAGGTAGCCTGAGGGGAAATCCATATTCATATTGTTTAGAAAAGTTCAGTTTAATATTGTTGAATTTATCATTGTACTATTTTATTGTATAGCCTTTTTTTTCATTAATAATAACGATCCATAAGCATTCGTTTAAAGTAAGAGGGAAATCCAAAAACCTTTCATTTATTTGTGTTACAACGTAGGTACATCAGTCTTATTCGTTCTGTTCATAAAAGTTTTATGTTTAATGTAATTTTGACTTTATTCTTAAAATATTATGACGTTAATCTTATTTATTTAGTTATTTTTCAACTTGGCACTAAAATGTTGCTGTAGGCTATTTGTAGTTACTGAATGCAAACACAATTTTGGCACAGTGGCCCAAAAAACAAAAAACAAAAACAAAACAAAAAAGTAAAAAATAGTGAGGGGATATTTTAATTGTTTGTTAATAAACTAGTGTTTTCTGAGTCAGTGTCGCAAAGATGAATTTGACGAACCTGACTCGCCATCTCCTCATTGGACATGCCTCTAGAGAGAAATGCATCTTTACGGATTACATAATGAAAGCTTTAATATAAGCGACTTTGTCATTGTAGCATTGCTGATGTTGTGTGTGTGTGTGTTTTCATTAAGAGTAGGCCAAATATTGAATCAACCTTAAGCAATTTTTTTTTCAAGAATAGGAAAGACCTAGCATTAAAGATCAAAATAAGCGCTGCATGTGAGAATGCAAGATTTGCTGCTGCTAAGGTAGACGCTCTCGCTCTTTCTCTTTGCTATGTCTGTAGAAATGGTCGTTACTTCTTAATTTGGGTACGGAACAGACATGTTACAGGTAATAATACAATCAGTGGCGTAGCGAGTCAGCCCTGGGCCCATATGCAAAAATATAGCATTTTTTTGTAACGTTATGGGCTTCAACTCGGTTAACTTAACTTTTTGTTGATATTGTGAGTGCACACAAATAAAAGTAGACTTTGCAGTTCCGAATGAGGTATACTCTTACCTTTATGAGCAAAAATTACGGCATATTTTTAAGATTCCACTATTAAAAAAAACAACAAAAAAAAAGCAAGTGATCGCGCTGGCGCCTCCATGTCCTGCAGAGCGCGCTTCAGCTTCCACTCTCTGCACAAACGATTGGATATGCGTCTAACAGCGCACATTTATATAGGTTAAATGTTTAAATTAATACTGTGAAATGCACAAAGTGCTTTATGTCTGTAGATTTTATTTTATGCAAGTCGTTGTGTTGATTTGAGAAGGCTAAACTGATCAAACATATGCTCAACTCAGAGAGAGAGAGAGAGAGAGAGAGAGAGGCTCCAGTCGGACTTGGGCTGAGAATTCTGATAAGCTGTTGGACAAGGGCAATTCAGGGAAATTGCAGGGAAATTAATTTCCTCATTTCAATTAAAAGTTCCCCTCAGCTCGGCGGGCCCCAATCTGCCCGGGCCCATATGTACCTGCGTACCCAGACGCTACACCACTGAATATAATAAAAAAAACATGGCAACAAATGCTTTTTTTTTTTAATTCAGTTTAAGAAGTTGAAAAAGTTGAAACAACTTTCACAGTCAATTTGATTCAACTTGACTCATGTTTAACCGTTGCTTCTTGTCATTGTAGGCTTAGGCTACTTTTTTCAATACGGCAGAGACATGTTACAGGTTATAATATAATCCAAAAATCATGGCAACAAATGATTTTTTAAGTCAGTTTAATACGTTTAATCAGTTGAAACGACTTTCACAGTCAATTTAATTCAACTTAACTCATATTTAACCGTTGCTTCTTGTCATTGTAGGCTTAGGCTATTTTTTTCAATACATTTTAATGAATATACAAATTAATCAAATGAATTTTATTTATTTTTTATTACATATTGTTCATTCATTTATTTTTAACACCGCACCCCCATTTTTCGTGGGCGACACTCCAGGGGGTGCTGCAGCACCCTCAGCACCCCTACTTCCCGAGGTAATGAGTGTATGTGAAGCTATAAAAGCAGATTATGACAGAGGAGAGAAAGAGTTACACAAGGTCAATATCTCAAAGTATATCCATCACAATTGCATTTGGGATTATAAATCTAGTAGCATTAGAGGCAATTAACCTTTTACATAACAAAGGTTTGCATAAAACTGAAATGTTAACACTCACTAAATATTGTCTGGTATTTACCTGTCACCCCACTACAGGAAGACTCACATTCCTCCTGGGAGTTAAAGTTGTTATCGTTGCCCCCACAGCCGCCATAGACGAACTGCTTGCATGTCTGATTGATGACATCATAATAAAATCGCGGGAAGGCTGCGCGGCAATTTCCCACCACACTTGGGAGACGGCAGTGATCTGATAAGACAGAAGAAAAGGAATAGTCCTAATATAGTGTACATGTCTGTCCTAACTGTAGGAAATATGTTTCTCAGATTCAATGCTGTTGGTCATGATATTACTGCAGACCTCAGATCAAACTCTGCTGTCTCGTTGTAACATATAATTTTGGTACCACAATGATGTCATTCAGGTATGTATGGCATGCTGTTTTAGCTTAAAATATTCCCAGCGTTACTCGACGTAACTGCATTTTTACTAGTAACAATGCAATTATAGAGCTCTACAATTAAATAATTACTAGTAACAATGCCAATAAGAGAGCTCTCTAAATCAAATTTTACTAGTTACAATAACAATTAGAGAGCTCTGTAATTGAATAAGAGCTCTGCAATTGCATTCTTACTAGTAGCAATTCATTTGAGAGCTCTCGAATTCAAATTTTACCAGTAAGAATTACAGTTAGAGAGCTCTTTAATGCAATTTGCACTAGTAACAATTCAATTAGAGAGCTCTCTAATTCAGTTTTTACTAGTACAAATTGCATTAAGGAGCTCTCTAACTGTAATTCTTACTAGTAAAATTTGAATTAGAGAGCTCTTTAATTCCATTATGCAGAGCTCTGAAATTAAACATATCTTTAATGTGTTTTTTTACTAGTTACAATTGAATTATAGAGCTCTGTAAATGCATTTTTACTTGTAAGAATGAAATTAGTGAGCTCTCTAATCGCAATTGTTACTAGTAAAAATTTATTTAGAGAGCTCTCTACTTGGAATTGTTACTAGTAAGAATTCAATTGTAGAGCTCTCTAATTGGAATTCTTATGAGTGAAATTTCAGTTGTAGAGCTCTGCAATTAAAAATGAATGGAAGTCAATGGAGACATGACTAGTAAAAATTCATTTGTAGAGTTCTCTAATTGGTTACTAGGAAGAATTGAATTCGAGAGCTCTGTAATTAGAATTCTTACTAAGAATTGAATTAGAAAGCTCTCTCCCTCTAATCATAATTGTTACAGTAAGAATTGAATTAGAGAGCTCTCTAATTGGCATTGTTATTAGTAATTATTTAATTGTAGAGCTCTCTAATTGAATTGTTATTAGTAAAAATGCAATTATGACGAATAACACTGGGAATATTTTAAGCTAAAATCAACCTGACACCGCTTGCCATAGGTATGGGAATATGCAACTTTACCTTCCCTTCTGCAGTTTAAGACTTTTGTTTACAGTACTGGGCTGTAAAACTTGAAGTACAGGTTGCTCAGGTCAGTGGACAACAATGCTGCACCACTACCTGGAAAAAGGGGAGGGTTTCTATACAGCATTTTCTTCTTCTTTTTGCCTTAGGTTTATTTAAAACTATTTAAGATCACAGATAATTATTAACAGTTTCTCAATGAACAAACATTATAATATTACTTACTGCATCAACTTCATGTATATTCCATGAAATGCGGAACATCCTTTCATTGTACTTTTCATAAAGGTAACATATGGCCAAATAAGTTACATGATGAACTAATTATAATAATAAAAAAAAGTCTGTGTGACCCAACTAACACAAATTTATAGTAATGTGAGAAGAAAGCTGTAAAACCAACTGTACAGTTCAATCTTTTGTAAATAAGTTTTGAAAATAAGTTTGGTACATTCATGAGTATTCATTACTTTGTTTTTTTTCCAACTAATTTTTATTCCATAAATGTTTCATAAACTTTCCCTAAGAGGCTAATTTACATGCAATTAGCCTACATTTTACATATGGGAATTTTCCAGTTTCCACCAAATAGGCTACCACAGTTAGTCACATATTAATTTATTATGATATACATTTTTTATTAATTTATTGTGATTGAATTAATAATTACTGCAATACAAAGTATAGTATGAATTACATTTAGGTGTTAATTTGGTTTAAAATAGCCTACTATATTTGTCTGTATTTTTTCTCCGGTAATTTTTATTACCTGTGGTGTTCACAGAGCGAACTTCCGCCGCGTTTTGAGTTTTTTGATCAGCGCTATCCAGGATCTTGCGGTACACCTTAAACTGTGTGCTCTGGGTCAAAACACACACGTCTTTGCCGTCTTTCATGCAGCTGACCAAGCGGCATTCTGGTCTGCCGTCCGCCGGAGTCCCGATCACAGCGAGCTGGCAGTCGTCCCTCTCACAGCAAGCATTCTGACACTGCTCTGCGTCCGAGATCTCCGGCAGGTCAGCCAGGTAAGCCGCGCCGTTATCAAACGAGCTGATATCCAGACCCTGCTCGAGCTCCGTGTCCGGGTCCCACTTACACGCGTTTAGAACCGACAGACAACAGAGAAAACCGACGATGGAGGCAGTGAAACACACCTGAGCCATTCTTCACTTCCCGTCTACCTGTCCTAGCTCTTTTCGGTTATGACCTACGACGGGTCGAATCGAATAAAGTTAAACGAACCAGATGCTTTATTTTTATAGCTGGTGTGTGCGGACGCAGCAGGTGTGCGTCTCCTCTCCTGGGAAATAGTGTAACAAACTACTTCCTCTTACGTGACGTCACTGTTTGTGTGTGTGTGTGTGTGT